TCGCGACAGCTTTCGATGTCGTTCCTAACAAGAGGTTACGGATTAAACTGGCGACGCACGGGATCTAGGGTAGGACGAGCGAGTGGATCAGTAGCTGGTTGACAGGAAGAGAGCAACGAGAAATGGTAAATGGGGAAGCGTCGACCGTGGCCGGTGTCGCAAGTGGGGTCCCTCAAGGCGAGGTCCTGGGACCACTTCTGTTTCTGGTCTACATAAATGATTTGGATCTCGGCGTAAAGGCTATGACAAGTAAACTTGCCGACACACCAAAGTAGGTTTTCTATAAGGGGGGGGGGAGACGGATAGGGCTAGAGCCCTATCCTAGAGCCCTAGAGTCTTTTGGTTTTGGATGTTTGATTTGTGTGTTTTGGAAGAGTGGAGCTAGAAATGACTCATGAGGTTTAATACAAGTAAATGTTAAGTTCTCCACGACGGTCAAAGTAATGGTATGTCTCTCGACGAGGATAACAAGGCAAACGGAGATCTGGATGTTTCTATCGAGGAAGACCTCAGGTTTCCCTCGCACGCGCAAGCGACAGTTGCCAGATGTAACCGGATGCTTGGTTTCATTCGTCGTTCGGTTGCAAGTAAGAACTCACGCGTTGTTCCGTTGTATGCGGCACTGATAAGCCCCCAGTTAGAATATTGCAACCAGTGTTGGAGGCCTTCAAATGAGGGTCAATTGTTGGCGCTCAAGGGGGTACAGAGGAGGGCCACAATAATGATTAAGGAGGTTAGGGGACTTCCGTACGAGAAGTGTTTGGATGTGCTGGGTCTGTACCCGCTTGAGAGAAGGTTAAGGAGGGGCGATCTCATCCAGGCTCTCAAGATAATGAAAGCAATAGATAATGTAGAGTGTTTTAGGCTCTTCCAGTTCGATGGTAGCAAGAGAACGAGTGGTAATCAACTTAAGCTGCGTAAACTGCAGGTGCGGCTCAGTAACTTTTTTACTTGCAGAGTGGAATGCGTTAGACGCCGACGTAGTGGCTGCCCCTTCCATGACTACTTTTTTAAGAAGAAAATATATGCTTTTATTGACAAGAAAGAAGGTGGGCAATGTTGGCTTAAAGGACAAGGCGATAAGCAACTAGGATATGCTAACACAAAAATTATTAAGATACAAAATATTTAGCTTTAGGAGGGGTAGGCCTACCCTAAAATTAAGGAATGCTCGACCTAGACACTTAGAATCCCAATTGCTGTTATCGCCCCTTGATATCACTGAACAACCTTGAACCTTGAACATTGATTCCGAGTCATGACGGTTGTCGAGATAATAAAACCCACTGTCAAGGATCTTTTCTGGATTTCTTGTTTCCCCTCTTCTACAGGGTGTTGCAAAAGAAACAAAAGACTTTAAACTTTTGCCGCATATCCTTGCTGTACGAGTATAGCTACTCTCACAGAGCTTGCAATGTGAATATTCTGATATGTTGCCAACAGACTCAGAAAACTCATCAATATGTGTCGAGCCAAAGCAATATATCTATTTGGTAGAAATCTGAAACCTGATGGCAAGGGGTTCATTATAAATGACTAGACGTGCGACATATATTCCGACATAAGCTGAGGAAAACCCCATGCAAATGTTAAGCATAGCGTATTCATACTAGTCTTATTCGTCAAAAAATGGAAATCAGCTCATAAAAATTATTTTAAGAAAGGCCAGCGCAAAGAAATAGTTGTAATAGTAGTTCATCGAGGCCAAGACTATGGAGCAAGATAGCCAAGGTGTTCTTATCTGCTCCAAACTCTGCATATTTGCTCCATTGTCATTTTCTGCCTCCTTTCCTTCAAATACCCATATATCTGTATCTATACGACTAATTGCAATGAAACCTAGATAATCTGTTGGAATCATATCCAAATACGCTTTTATAATTTTATGGGGAATTTCTCATGCAGTCATGATGATGTATGTGTCAGAATTCCTCAGTTTTCTTTTCTGCACTCTGTGTTCTCTATCAGGTTTGCTCGCGATTGCGATATCTATGATATGGGAGGAATTTTCCTGCCTGGCATGAGACGCAGCCTTTGAAGTAGGCCTATTCTACAGGGTGGAGAGAAGTGACGAACATTTGTTGAATTGACCGCTTAGAGTTTGCATTTGAAAGTTATTTATGCGACGAAGGTGCATTTTACAACTATTGGATCTGCATTGGCACACGTAGACCCCTAATGTCGGTGAAAGCAATCGCAATTGTCTCTTTCCTGTTCATCTGTCTATAACCAATTTGTATATCTCTTTTTTTTTCTTCCCCTATGACTCTCGCTCTTCGTGATTTTAGGGTGAATATTTTGTGAACTCAGGCAATATAGATAACATTTTATTTTAAGCGGTGGTAATTTCAACTATATTAGTCGGACATTGAATGAGTGATTCATCCAAATCGCTTAATACAACTGCATTCATATGTGCTGTATAACCCCTGCAGGATATTGCAAGAAAATCCCAGTCGTGAGTATGAACGCCCTTGTCTCTCTCTGGGAACAACATAGGATTTTTCTTTACCTTTTCTCAGTGGAACAGGAGCGCTGAAATTACCGAAAATGCAGATACGTCAGGTAACTGATAATATGTAATGGACTGGTTTTTCTCTTTCACGCCACGAGCACAGAACTGCCATGCATTTTGAGACGACATTTTTAATCTCTGAGATAATGTACTTGTATCTTATCTGGATTTTCTCCGATGAACAGAAAAAATAAGTGGTGATAGCCTTGTGTAGAACCAGGAGAGCGGTTGGGGGAACTGCAATTCCCCCACCGCCTCTAGAAAATTGGAAGCCTCCATTTCGAGCCGCCATTGAAATCATAGAAGCCAGAAATTTTAAAAATATCTTTGGTCGCAACAAACCCATAATCATGCCCCCACCTTTCCAAAGATAATCTGAGAATTTTCTAGATCTGCTTCTACAGTCTATCCCCGAGAGATCCTTCAAAACATGAACATATTTCACTTGAAATTATTGCCAACTGCCAGTCAGGAATAATAAACCAACTACCTGTGTCATCAATACCGTCAATTAAAAAACGATGGTTTTTATTCACTCGCAATTCATGAAGCAGAAGTACTTAATCAAATGCCGGTTAAGAAATATGAGGATGACCTCAATCCACTTCATCATGTATTCATTCAGAATCGCGCCAACAGCCAGAACATCTGATACAAATACGTATTTACATCATATGTTGGACCAAGAGAACGATATGAGCAGTCGTACAGTCCATGCTTCATATGCATGGATGTAGGTGTTGCAGGTGTTGCAGGTGTTACCCGCCTTACCCTAAACGATAAACCAGAGAGATGCAATAGTGGGAGTGAACTGCTCACTTACTGTATATCGATTATAAAAAATTGAAACAATTAATAGGTATGTATCATGTGCAGTCTGTGGGTCGTGAGGATTCATAAATTCTTAGGATGTAATGGGTAGATATCCTTGCATAATTTTCCCTGAAGGGCGCCTTTTCCAGTAACCCTTCAAGCTCGAATATTGGTCCGCATTTTTTGAAATACTAATCAGAGTAATAATGAATTATGTGACGCGACAATTCCTTGATACCGAGATCGTTATGGGTAATTGACAAAGAAACATACTTCACTGGAATCCTAAGAGACGCATGAAGAGCTGTATTTCACAGGTAGTCACTATGTAGCAACTATCCTTTCATGTGAAGTTGATCTTTGCTGTTGGGAACGGGAATTTTCTGTATTTAGCAATTCTATCGAAAGAGTACGGAAAAGAGAGCGAAGCCTGCGATGGCAGACTGTTTATTCTACCCACGAGTTTCCAGATTCGCAAATATTCAATACATAATGTTTTAATATGACTATATTTCATAACCGGAGGTCCGAAGGTTAAAGCGTGTGCGATCCTGGCTGCTAGCGAGGCCAAGTGACAAATATGTTTGTGAGACAGCTCTACTGGCCAGACGCTTCGAGATATGAACGCAGGATAATAACATACATCTTTCTCATCATCTGCGAGTGTCCCTTTGCGAAATAATTTCAAGATGGGCAACAGGAGAAGGGGAAAACTTTCACCGAAATTCGAATTTATGCTCTGGTATTTCCATCGTCAGGATGGACGAGGAGACGAGAGTTATCGCGGGAATCATCAGAGTACGGTGGCATCGCTCAACGCATTTTCCTTGTGGGGTTTCCATCGCTCAAAGTGCCCAATTGCGTAATTGCAGAATGACGGGCAATTCCGTCACGGCACGAATCACCATCACTTCTTTAGAAGACGTTCGCGAACAACGCGAGGAACCCAACCAGCGCGAGAGTTCTTGGCGTTTCTCCCTCGTCTTGTAGGATGGACCTAGGTGCATCATCATAATTCAAAGTGGAGGACCACATTGGTCCAGGAATCTAGGGCCTACGTTTAAACATATAACATGTGTGATTCTTGTCGCTACCTAAGTCGAACGAAATCTGATCATGCGTGACAGCTCTACAGGTCAGACCAGCTGTCCAGACCAGACTGGGAAACAGTCATATTCACTCCTCTTTTGATGCAAACTGTATTTACTTGTGCGCACCACCGGGTGTCCCTCATGCTTAAAGTGCGAAGTGATAATAAAATTATCACTTCGGAAATCACACTTTCTAATGATTCCCATATAACCCTTTAGGAACGTGGTTTTACTCGTAGATTCCCGTAGGAATCACTTGGGATTCGTATGCGATTCTCCAAGCAAGAAAAAGCTACGTTTCAATATAATTTTGCCATCAAGCTCAATGTTTCCGAGGAGGTATGGATATGACGTGCCTAACTTGAAAATTAATTGCGTCATGACATCATGCAATATCACACATTTCCAGCAGTTTGGTACATAGACAAGCGTTCCGCACTACCCTAACGACTTCTTCTTCATATATTAATACATTGACTATTTTACTTTGTAAAGGACACTTCACCTGGGAGGCCAGTTGTTCATGGGGATGCAGATGTAGACCGTTGAACATGTGATGGTGTATTCCAGCTTGAAGTTTGTCACCGACGTGCCATCGCTATGAGCGAAGAGTCTTCACCTCCAAGCTCCTCTGCCTCAAGGTTCCCACTTCTTTTTTTCTCAAGGATAGCCGGAGAAATATTTACTCTCAGAGAAGTGAGATAAACAGAAGGCTTCCCGAACGAAGCCTCATCATGAAGCCCCTACGAAGAAACGCAATCACAACCACAGATTTGAATTCGTCTTGAATGTACGTCACTTTGTCTTTCTCGCAATTGAGTCATAGAATAGCGGACATCACAATCTTTCTTTTTATGACTACTTCTCATCCAGAGATTTAGCATTTTGTCATGTCTAAGCGTCTCCCTTCACACCGTTTAAAAAAATTTTTTCGTCATATTTTATTTGCAAAAAAATATTGAAAGTGTTCAATCGTGCTCGCAGATGTGACATTTCTCACATAATTTCCCTTTTGTCATAAAATTCATAGACATGTTATGCAGACTCAATATTAAAAAGTTTCGATTCGAAATGAGCAGCTTTTCTCTAATAAGATTCCTGCAAGTAATAAACGAAAAAAACCCACATACCTTCGGTTTCGCCAGGATGTCAGTAGTTTTGCGTATGGACGGGGATGATCTTTTCTCGTATGAGGAAGAGACATCGCAAAACTATGAAATTACCCATACGGGTCTGCGAAAAGTCCAAAGCACCGCCCAGAATTTCGGACAGTCTGGGGGGAAAGGACTTGGGAAGAAATGAGATCAGTGCCGTTAGTTCGAAGGAAGATTTCGAGGTGATTTCTCAAAGGTGAAATTGAACTACTGTAGCAGAATGGCTTTCTTTCCCTCACAATCGGATCCCCAGCTTCTGACTGCTAGGAGCTGAACATATTTGTCAGCATTATCTCAGAGTTCATAAAAGAACATTCAGGCATGCAGATTGTAGCGATCGAATGAGTTGAACTTTGTCCATATGATTGACGGGTATGACAGGGAACGAACTTGAAGCCTCACTTTTTATTTAGACAAATCTGATGAGGCCAACCCGCAAGAATTTGGCTCAACACTTGGGTGATGTCGGTCGAATATGGTGGATAGCAACACTTCCCGTGTGTACTGTATTAATAATTCAGTAATTTAGATACAATTTGCGAAGTCCGTGGAAGTTACTTCCAATTGCAAAAATGAAATAATTTAAACTTAATTTGACCCTGTTTGTAGAGACGCAACATTCATCTGACCCGAGAAAAAGTAATCGTTTCGTTTTAAATAGTTCCTCCATGTTGTTAATATAACCTTCTCAAACAGTATTCCGAGTACGTACTCGCAGTCCGAGTTATCCAGCGGTGGTACCCTATATCCATCCTATCTCCTAGGCATGTAGTTACACAATATTGGGGAGTTTCTTGGAACACGGGCTCTTATTCTCAGTGAGATGTCAAGACTTCCTGCTACATGTAAAAATGTACTGAGAGGAAGGGATTTATATTTTCCTGGAAATGCTCTGAAATGTACTGCAATGGTTGCGGGTGTTCAATTGCACATCTAAACACGTTCTGGCAGTGAAGTTTTCTAGAAATAATTTGATACCCATTTTACGTCAGTCTACTGGAATGACTGCAACAATTGCTGACCGAAACGTGGTATATGGCTGGTAAATTGATCTCTCTACTATTGAAGGTTTTGTTTGCTGGGCATATAGTTCAATAACAGGACCCTCAATGGAAATGCCACGATAAACACGGTAATATGTAATTACATATTGTCCTATTTTCGGCTCTATTCCGGAATGAGTCAATTAATTGACTATTGCGGCATTTAGCTTATAAGTGAGAGGAAGGTCAAAAGAAATAACGATGCAGCACAAGGACACTGTTCTTTCCCTTTCAGCTCAAATACACGTATTTTCTTCATTCGCCTAGTATTACTATTTGTTCCCAAGTAATACATTTTTTACCGAGTTGCCGCGCCAGAGGACGTATGCCCTACATTTCCAATTCAATCTGATCTTGGTGAGTAGTCCGCATAATGATCTGCTACTGCATGAGTTTGCTAGTTATTATATGCGTTCTCATCTTCAGTACTGTTTTTTTTTTAATGTACTGGAAGTAACGAGAGAATCATATCTCAAAAAGACTACCATTGGAACACATCAGATGTTAACCCTGGTAATGATGGCTTCGCTCCCCATCCTATTCTTTGGGGCGTCTCTCCCATTCCTAGTCCTCTTGGCGTTGCTCCACTCTTGGTTATAGCGATGGCACCACCCCTTCCTCGTCCTCGTGGCGCCGCTCCCCTTCCTGCTCCTTAGGGTGCGATTCCCCCTCGTCCTGGCGGCGTCTCTCCTTTTCCTGGTGGCAAGACTCCCTATCCTCATCCTGGGGGCATCACTCCCCCACAAAACAAAATTACTTAAATAACAGCGTTGAACTTCTAAACCTCACATTTCAACCGTAATGAGAACTGGACCATCCACTTCTATAATACACACAGTTTATTCCTGAATTCACATTTATATTCACTATTGAAGATACGCCAAAGAGGTAACCTATCTCTGAAGCACACGATGACATTTCAGGAACGATAGTTTTCCTGGCTCTCGGACCTCATGATGGAGATGTTCCTCTTATTGCAGTCACATAATAGGGACGGGCTTCTTTCACACGGCTCTCCTCCCCCCTGCTTTCTTCCACTCTGTCATGGAATGCCAATTAAGGACTAATCCATAGGAGCCTCTTTTGAAACAGAAAAATAAACATTGGCAAATGATTCTCCTCTACATTGTATCTTTTGTTGCGCCTGTGAAGTTATTAAATAATTTGACCCAAACGTTGAACGTGGGTGTCATTCCTGAAAGCCTAGAATCGAAAAGAGAAGGGATTCTACTTTCACGCATGTCTTGGCAAGTTGCTACCTCTCCTCTCTACCTCTGTTCCCAACTCAGTTTCAAAACAATGAACCCTATGAGAGAGCGTTCTTTGGATTTCAAATTTTTTTTTAATTCTCACCGTTGTCCAACGTGTCGGCAAGCTTGGCATGATTTCGGTGGCGAAGGATTTCAAGGAAAGTGGGGAATGCGTCGTCTCCTCTATGAGGCAGATGTTCTTGAAGGAACAGCAGTTTTTCCCTCGTTCCTTTGTATACAATGCCGAAATACTCGTGGTGCTTGATGATCCCCTTGACCCTCAAGTCAACCAAGATGACCTCAAAATTGATGAACTGCAATTCATCCGAGTATTGAGCGAGGATGTTGGCGACGACGTCGGCCATGACTTTTAACGAACCAGGAGAGAGGAACAACCCGAGATCACTCAGATCCTCTCAACTTCTCTCCAAATCTGCAACTGTGCCAATGCATGTATGCTCTTCAGCTTTATTTAAGTCACAAAAATATTTAAAGTATGCTGACGAATTTCTTAGTCGTGAAGATGCTACGTTGCACTCATAGTCATAACAAAATTATTTTCATCCCCTTCATGGAGTTTTTGTAGTAACCATCTTCGTACCACTGCAACTTCAAACTTGTATATGAAATGAACGTATTACATGCTAAGGACAGTCATATTCGAATTAGGCTTTCATGCATTTCTGGAATCATGCAAGTTGTACCAACATTTCTAGCAATAGTCAGATAAATATAATGTTATCGAAGAACATGCCTGATAAACCTTCTCGTAGTTTCCTGTCTGCATTGATTACTTCATTAGCCCATTTTGAGATCAGTTCATGAAAGTAATTAGAAAATGACCAGGCAAAAGAATGAATAGAAGAGAAGTTTATTGTGGGCAGGATGATATGGAAGAAGAGTGCGAAGGCGTTTCTTCCATTCCACTTTCAGCTCGGGTTCTTTTCAATTGTCAATTACTACTTTGCTCTGAATTGAGACTCTTAGGTTTGATTCGTTAAGACAAATGTAGGGAGATCTTTGAAGATCCGTTAGAATAATGTATAATAAGAAAAATGTAATATTCGTAATAACTGTTCAATTGTTAGGTGATAAATATGGATCGTAACACCTCAACGTCATCCCACTATCATCTATTTTTATTGGGCTGGTTGTCTTGTGATAGACGGAAAGTTTTTTTGCTGGGCAAGGTACGCTGTATTGGAAGTAGGCATATGTCGCAGAGTGGAGAGAATTGAAAGTTTTCAAATATGCATGCGCCTGGTTTGGATTTGGAAATCATGTTTACTACGAAAATGCGTTTCACTACTATTGGATCTGGTTCGGTTTCCCATATCAATAAATGTGATGGGATTCCTCTTCCGCCCTTTCATCTGACTCTCAATCACGCGTATCTAGTAATTTCATTATCTTCCACGTTGACGCTGTCCTGAAGTGTTCTCTTGTTTGCAAATTTATGCGAAAATCTTGTGACACTTCAATGGATACAAGAATATTGATTCTAACAGTTTCAAATGATAGCTGTTAGTAGGAACACTTTCGACTTTGGGAGAAGAATATGACATTTACCTTACCTTTGCTAAGTCTAAGAGAAGAATTGAAATTCACGAGAATTCACGAGAGAATGCATCGAAGAAACGGAATATGTTGGACTCGTTTTTCCCAATTGAGTGCGAAGGAAAGTACTCTCATGCGTTCGCTGATCGAGAAGAATATCTTATCTCGGAGGTACCGTCATTATGTATTATCTCGTTTTTCTCCGAAAAAAAAAAGAAATAGAGGGTAAGGTGATTTTCTGGAGGCGAGAGTAGTAATGGAACTCAAGCTCCCTGTCTTTAAACAATTAGAATCTTCTTTCCCTCTTGAGGTGCTACAACTCCATTGAAAAGCAGTCCCCGTGGTCTGGATTTCGAGTGAAGGGCAGCATGATAACGAAATCGACAGCCGCATCTCCAGGGCTTCTGTGGTGGTTTTGCGGGAACATTAGCTAACCACGGTTGCCAGATAGGATGTTCCTAAGAAAGCTAAATTCTCGGTTTTAAAAGCGTTTTGTCCCCACTCTCAACTATGATCATGAACTTTAGGTGATGTCCGAAAGAACTAGATCGAGGATACAAGCTACTATAATGAGGTTCTTCAGCTGGGTGATTGGCGTGGCCAATCACCCAGCTCGGATCGGATCCGATCGGATCCTGATCGGATGCGGAACTCTGTCATCTGGGAGAGCCTCCATGTCGAGCAGCTGCCTCTCAGGATCGAGAGGCCTCAGGTCAGATGGTTTGGACACGTGTGCCACATACCACCTAAGAGACTTCAAAAAGGAGTTCACCAAGCCAAGATAACCGCAAAAGACCTTTCGGCTAACTTCGTACAATGTGAAGCGAACACGTCGTTTGGGTTGTCACGAGAGGCTCGGCATTCAACCAGCTGAGCTTGAGTTTGTTGCTCAGGGTCGAGATCATTGGAAGACGTTCTTGGGCATACTCGAAACGCGAGCGCATTAAGTGGGGAAGATAAAAAAATGTATGAATGTATGATCACCGTCAACGGCGCACAGGACATGACAGGAATGGAGGACCTCGTCAGATCGTTTTGTTAAAGAATTCATATGTCTTCCTCTGTAGTGTCTGTATTGGGAGAGGATCAGGGACCTCAAGGAGAACGAAGATAATTCCAGCGTACGAGGTACTGATTTGCTCGATTGGGTACTTTTAGCGTCATCTAGCGACAATGATGTGAAGCTTTGTTGTTTTGAGCCACTGTCAGATGGATAGCACAATCAAGTTGAAGAAAAACGCCTCTTTAAAGTTCAACGAACGTCCATCAAGAACGTCATGTATTTCTGATCAAACGGCACCTTACTGTAATTGAGCGTCCAAAAGCTTGTCCAAAATCAATGAACCTTGAATGCCAAAGAACCTCTTTGAGCCAGGGTTGAGTGTCCTCCTGAACATTCTTGTTTTACTTGGGCAGCTTTTAAGGGTATGCAGTCCCCTCCCTGAAAAACGAACTGGGACCGAAGGGTTTCATGAACGTCGGGAAGCCTCTCGTAGCCCATCCAGGTCGTCGGCTTTGGGATCTTGGGTAGGTGCGACAGGTTGAAGTAGGGTTTTAATAGCAGTGAAATTTCGCAAACGAACTCTTACTAGTGCACCATGCAATGCATTTCAGGTTCGAGGGTGCGAGTTGGACATTCCTGCTCATTCCACAGAAACGGGAGATTTCTCAGTGCTGCCTAAATTAAATAGGACAATGCCAAAATAAAATGTATTCTGGCCAAAATTGAATGGGAAAACGGGGTGGTGGGAAGACCGCAGAAACTGAAAAGATCAGTGCGGAATTTGAAAGGACTCATGCCGAATATCAGCGAGAAATCGAGAAATCGGCTGACTGCATTATTTGTTTGCGTTGTCCTGCGAATACATGTTAATACGACGCTGAAAATTTCGATCATGAGTCTTCAAAAATCCTCTGTTCCTAAATTCATTTTTAGTCAATTAATGCTCGTGTTCGATGTAAAACCATTGTCAGCGTATTTTGATGCTACATTGTTGTATTTTGAATAGGCATTTCCTGAATGACATGACGTCTCCAGAGCATCATTCAGTTGGGAAAAGGGGAAATACCGATTTCTCAAATGTATCTTTTTTTTCCAATTTCAACTTCCTATTGCTCAACAAACCCAGCTCAAAAATGACATTTAAGAATCAACCATGCATGAATAGGGAATCTTCAATCAAGTATTCTAGATAGCAGCGAGGAAAAGAAGGTGGATTCTTTCCGGAAAATGCATCTAAAGATAAGCAGACACGCATTCCAATGGAAATTGGAATGCCTCTTCGCTTCCAAGTCATCAGGTTGGGCGAGTAGAAATAAAGCTAGAGGTGTTTGTACTCGTGGCTTGTAAGAGTTGAACTATTGAAAGCTGTCCGGTGTTCCATTATTCTGGTTTTAAGTCCGTCTCAGCTTCTGACGAATCAGAGCAGTCGTTATCATCGTCTCCTCTCGTGGGGCTTTCTCCATTGTGGGTAGGCCATTCTCCCTCAGGAACACCTGGGATCAAGATATTGAATAAGAATATGTTAAGTTGACCATGACAGGTAAGCAAAAAATATGTTATCATTGGTTTGGATGTGCTCGAACAATTATAAGTCACTTAAAATGGATCTTTCCGTCCTGCTCGCAGGATGATTTTTAATAATGATTCAAAAATATTTTAAGTGCCCCCGGCATTGCTTAGTTTCCATGTAAGAGTATTTCCTTTGAATTCAGATTTATTCATTTTTAAAACTCGGTAAACTGTTTCACGCAAAATCTATCATTTTTCCATGACACTATTGTTTGGTTCCAGGCTTAGTGCACAAGACTCGCAACCCGTTCGAGGTTTCCCCACCCCTATCCTCACCGTGCCAACGAATAGTTGCAGTTTTAATGCTCTCTTTCGAAAGAGTAAAACAAACTCCAAAAAAAATATCATGCAAGTAATCACAACTTTAACATGAGGTGTATCTGACTACTCCGTTCAGAGTACGCTGTGGACGGCGCACCTCTAGCGTTAATATCTACGTGGATAGCGAGGAGGGGTTCATCTAAATATGCCGGATGTTGCATTTTTGCATAAACTTGGCAAAAGAACAAATGTGAAAAATAAGGCCTTTCTGTCACATGCAGTTTTAATTTTTCCTTGTTATGACAAGTATTTCAAGGGAAAATCTTGCCAAAAAGAACGATAAATGCGGAACAAACCTTGCAAGATCTCCATAGATTGCACTGTTCTCCTCAGCAGGCGGTATGGAGAATGTTACTGATTTTCTTTTGCTATCTTTTGTCAATTCAGGGGCAAGTTCGCCTTCTGGAAGTTCGGCGTTCGATGTTGTCCAAGGTTGACAGCCATTGTTCGCAGCTTCCCACCCTATGGGGGAAAAGAAAATTGTTTTGTTTGAAAATAAGCATAGGAACACGATCAGTGTGAAAGCAAATAAGAGTCCCTCAGCGCTTGAATGGGAATAACAGTACAAAAGTAAAAAAATCGAAAATCAGATCAATGTGAGTGGGGCTCTTCACCAGACATCCTATTTTAATGTACTTGACTGAACGACGACGATAAAAAAATATCTATTATGATTGGTTTTAAGTTTTGAGTTTCTTTTTCAAGTTCTTATTCAAATTTTGACGCAAAAGATTGAATGTCATTGTTTATTGTAGGCATTTTTAGTCTATTTCTCAAAAAATCGGCCAGGTCATTAAACAGGCTTTCATAAATTCAACGTGATTTACGTTTGAAAATACTCAGAATACGTAAATCCTGAGCATATTTCCTTGAGGGATTTGACCAACCTCTTAATGCTGCAGATTGCGCATTCGGCGTTTTTCCTTCCATTGATTTCCAGCGTATAAGATTCCGAAACTTCGATGGTTTCTTCTGTTTCGCAGCCATGCCGCCTTTTCTAGCTTCTGCCTCGGCAACAGCAGGAGGGCAACTCTTCCTGCATTCCCCCGCTGCACCTTTAGGCTTGTCCCTGAGTCGAACACCTTCATCTACTCTGACAGGAGTTTCCATCGTCCCTTCTATTTCTTCTGTTCTTTCCGATTGTGGGATCTCCGGGAAGTTCTGCATGAGGTAATGGTTTCTTATTGTAACAAAAGAAGTCATCATGCATGAATAGCCATCAACTAGTCACCTGTAGATTCTGCTCCCCAAGGTCTTCTTTATTAACACTTTTATTGGCCAAGTAGGTTCGCCACAGTTTCTGGAAAAGGATCAACTGTCGCCGAAGCTTGCGAAAGCGAATTAAGAAGAAACTTCTCCAGGCGCGAAAACGCCCATGACGCACAGCTGCCAACAAGAAACGCTTTATGACGATAGCTGCTGCTCGCCGACGCTGACACCATCTTCGAATATGCCTTTGTACGATTGCTACATTTCTAAGGATTCGATTTCGTTCTTGCTCCAGGTGTAGGTCGCCGGCAATTTTCAAGAACACTTTACACGTCCCAAGCTGATAATCACCTGACGAACCCAACACATTCTCACAAATTTGTCTTGCCCGCTCGTGTTTATCCTCCTGTTAAGAGGGGTTTCAAATTAGGGAAAGGATTTCCATCATAATCAAAACACAAAAGGAATGAGGCATTTCATGACTAGTTACATTCTTAGAAGGAGGAATAAGGCCGCTGAGACACCAATATCGACCCACAAATTCCTGGAAGGCGTGTCGGATGGGATATCCCGCCTGGCGGATGCGAGCTGTTTCCATCATTCCCAAGTATTTCAGCTGACGACAACAAAGCCCCCGAACAAAGAGCTGCAAGATTCAGCATACGTAAGTCATCTTTTATGGTGAGTCATCACCATGCTACATTTTTTTGGCCTTGTGCTCTTAACGGATCATAGAATATTGTTGCTGAAGAGGTTACTAATTACATTAGCATACAATGCCACTGGGCAGCCTAATCATGTGACTGTGTTTAGCAAGAAGAATTTACCATGTCACCTCTCCTTGATATATTTTATGGCCTTTTTCAGCAATTTTAGGGTGAATATATATATGTATCCTGTTCGGAAGAATACATACCATGGACTTCTTTTGTTCGTTAGGTTTGATGCACCGAACAAAGAAGGGCTGACACAAAGAGAGAGTCTTCATGAGGGATTCCAAACTGGTCCTGAATTGAACGGAAATCGAGGGAGATCGCTTATTATTCTGGGATATTCTGATGATGTCAGCCTGAAATAGATTCCGGAGGAACTTGTTTCCACTCAGTTCGATGAGCTGAATCAGACTGATCGAGAAAGTGTCGCAATTTTTCTCGCAAAAGCCCTGTACATCATAGTATACCTCCCCGGCAAAGTGAGCGATCCCAAAGGAGTTTGTCTTGTGACGTGTGGGCTTCAGATAGCTTTTATCTTTTGAATAGGCAGTGTTGAACTTGGCTAAGAGCGTCTGATCGGTGCCTTTCGGCATCATGCATTCTTCATCCATTAAACTCATGATGTTCATTGGCTTCTTTCCGATCAAATCTAGGCAGTCTTGGTTGTCGACGAAGTCAATGTGGTTCCATTCGATACCTTCCGCATCGTACTCCTCTTGTTCTAGCTTGAATATGTGGTGAAAGAAGAACTGGTGCAGGGTTTCATTAGCAAAATTAATGCACAGCTGCTCAAAACTGGAAAGACAAAATTAAAGTAAATTCGCATGTATTGGAATTATTCATCACGGCCGTTGGTCCCGAACGTATATTATCTCACCTGTTGTGATCGAAATTTTCAAAACCAAAAATATCCAGAAGCCCGATTAACGAGCATGATCCGGCTTCCGGCTGAATGATAGCCGAGTTGATCTTGCCGACAATCCAAACGAAGAGGCGGGCATATATTCCTTTGGCGAGGGCATCTCGGACGTCCACGGCATCGCGGTATGCTAGGTTGGACACCTTCAAGGGAATAGAATCGCCGTGTATTCTGATACCTTTGGTTTGAAGTGAATGTTGAAACTCACCGTGGGTTCGTTTTGGATGATGATGGTTTTGGTTGTAATTCCTTTCACAATGGCCGCTGGTTCAAGATCCACCAGCTTCCCAATCCGTTCAACATGGGTCATGTTCGGGATCTGAGTTGCATCTAGATGATCTGTCAACAAAAAACCAGATCAGCACCATAATCGTAGCATTTTGCCTTTTACGATTTACTCCTCGCTAATGGTCAACCTCATTTGACAAAAGGAAATACGTGACAGCATTTCCCTTCTCCAGAATGATAATAAAATTCCCACAAAACATTATCAATTACAGCTAGTTTTATCGCATACAAAATAATTGTATGGTATGGGTCAAAAGTATTGCAACATGAGCGAACTAGGTTCATGGTTTGCTGTCCCTAAACTGTTTTCCGCTATAACTTAAACAGCTAAAGGACACTCCAACAATACACTTAGTGATATGTAGCTTGTGTAACTCGAGCGAATGCACTACATGATGTCCTCGCAATGCTGACTTTGTTTGGAATGAACATCAAACTACATAAAGGCCCACGAGCTGTCTTTGGATGTTCCGAGCGCAAGCCATTGGCATGGAAATCATAGAGGGAAGTTGATGTCATGACTGTAGCGCACTCAGTCAGATTGAGTCACCGATGGAAGCACCAAAAGTCCAGAGAGAGCCTCTAATCAAGGGCTTCTGCAAGACGTCAAAAAGTCCTTCCTTCCTCAGCAAAAGTGATCATATGCAAAAGCCTTGGGAAAATAGGCATGTCCAGCAATAAAATGACCTCCTGCTCAAAGAATTTGGATCAAAAAGGGTTTTTCGAAGAAACGGTCCTATGCTATCTTAACATTGCGTACCGCTCACGGAGATCTCCTTTTCTGAGTCCTTTTGCCCAGCCTAGTGTCGAAAAAGTCAAAGCCTTGTACAGTAGGCACCGAGCATTAAGCTAAAGTAACTGAGGCTTAGGCCAGAGCTGCGGATCGACATGGTAAAATGACCGGTACGCGATGTGTGGAAATGATAAAAAAAATGTCAAGGCGTAAAAGGGGCAACAAAGCTCCTTCTTATGGACGCCATGAAGAAGAAGCATCTGAAGTTTGCTGTGGAGTACAAAAACTGGACTAGTGAAGACTGAGAACGTGATGTTTGGTCAGATGAGATTGTGCTTCATCTTTTCCTGCTATTCAACCCACAGTGTGACAGGATCTGGTGCAAAAAACTGCACATTTTTCCTTCCCGTCCCCACAGTCAGGAAACCATTGAGGATTTTTAGGTGGGGGATGTTCTCTCATCCGGCATGCATGGGAGTTGCATATGATTCCACCAAAAAAGTTTATGAGCACAATTTAGTCTCTGGAGAATATCCTCCAAAAGCACGGACTTGATGCCTATAACAAGATGACCACAGGAGGATCAATTCTGGAGCAGAACTTGCTTGAAAAGTTCAGAGGCTATATTCATGCATGACAATGCCCCTTGTCATGCCTCCAAAGCCACTACTGCCTGGTGTCAAAAGAACCTGCCAGCACTTTGGGGGACGGATCAGTTACAAGGCGCAGCCCTGATCTAAATCCCATTGGCCTAAATCTCATTGAAAATGCCTAGCAGATTTCAAGGAAGAGGTCAAGATGAACCATGCCACAAGCTGCAAACAGCTCGTCCTGAAACTGAGAAATGCCCGGGGGGAAATCTTGGATGCATTCATTAGCAAAATTGTAGTAAGAAGTATGCCTCAGCAAATGCAGTTGGTTATCTACGTATATGAAGGGAAATCACAGTAGCAAGGGAATTAGTTCCATCACACTCTTTGGCGTGTTATAATATAAATTTTTCAGTGCTGCAATACTTTTGACCCAAAATGTACTTCCAGACAATGGATTATTGCAATGTTATGCATTTCTAGTATTTAAAAAGATATAAACGCAAAAATCCGTTCCTGATCATGTCGTATTCGTATTCATGTCTTATTTTATTTGTGTGCATCAGTTGCATCACGTCAGATATGTAGGTATGCAACGAACCGATGGTGTGTGCCTCCATCTCGATATTACCCATGTGGAGAATGACAGCCAAGACTTTTAGGATGTCTGAGATCTCAGAGTCAGAAAATACGAGTTCCTTCATGGCCGATCGAATGTCAGAGAAGTTGGGTCTGTCATCTCGTCCATCGTATTTCGCGGTGCTACCTTCAGTTAGATATTTGTAACTTGACGCATCGACAAGGTCCAGACGTTGTTTATCGCCAGCATCCAATCCGTCCAGCAGAGAGTAGAAAATGTGGAAGCTTCTCTCTTCGTTAGCCTGGGACACGATCCGACTTTTCTCCAGGAGATACTGCTTGATTTGCGCGCCCACTATTGCGCCATCGGGATTAAAGTGGATTTCGGTATACTTGCCAAAACGGGATGAGTTGTCGTTTCGGATTGTCTTCGCGTTCCCGAATGCCTCTAGGATGGGATTGGCTGCCAAAACCTGCTGCTCAATCTGGGAATGTCTGCCAGAGATGGCTGCCAAATATTGAAGGGTAAGCTTTGTGTTTTCGGTTTTTCCTGCTCCTGACTCTCCACTGTAGGGAAAAAAATGTGGAAATATAGTAGACATCACCTGAAAGGTTAAGTAGGTGGGTGGATTTAATCACTTTAAAAATATACGTAATCATTCTCCTGGCAGTCTGAAATCATGTGTTTCATCAACCATTTCGCTGCGAAGTTCTACTGCTGAACTGTGCCTCATACCCTTCGATTGTTATGTTAGACAATAGTCTTCATCCAGGAACACTTTTGTTCAGTCGCTGAGACGTTCGACTTCATTCCCTTAATCTGTAGCACAGACAAGTCAGTTTGCTCGAAATATCAATGCATACTGAAATCAGTTTCAATGTCTTGGAGCTGAACTCAATGGCAAACAATGAAATATGTAGCGATGTGGTTAACTGGCACCTCAGTAAATACCATTGTGAAAACTGAAACTGCTCAAAATTCCAAGCTGCAGGCCAATGAGTCCCATGGGTTTCTATAGGGTATTGTACCTCATTTATTCTGTTGGATGAGGATGTTTTTCACTTCAAATTAGCGATTGACGAAAAGGAAATCAACAAAGCCCAAGGAAGTTCATATAACCTGATGACGATGCATTGATCTTGGCCGTCTCTTCTCATGTGAGTGTAGCAATTGTCCGCAATGGCGAATATGTGTGGAGGAAGCTCCCCGAGATTCCGATCCTGGTACAGCTTGATCCTTTCCGCTGTGTAAATGGGGAGGCACTGATACGGGTTCACCGCAACTAGAATGCTTCCTGTATATGTCTGTCGAGATCCGACAAAAAGAATAGATTTTCATATCGGGCCGGATATCCAAGGAATCACAAGAACTTGAATCGTGAAGATATCGTGCAAAGAGTAAATTTTAATGGAATATACGAAAACAAAATCAGATATGTATTACATTCACATTAAAGAAAGGGTATTTACATATATGAGTTTATTCTTATATCGTATGAAGAGGTTTCGAAGGATGCTGGCCTCGTCAAGTTCCCCGAGCGAGATCATGTCATCCATTCCTTCAATGGAGGTCGAGTTCATCACCTTCAATATCCGACTCAGGGCCACCGATTGCCACTGTAACACAGAGATTGCTTATGATCGGGAGCGAGGGGACTTTTGGCAGAGACGTAATTAAATTTGCCTTTTAAATAAAGACATCAAGAAAATATATTTGATTAAAGATCCATGTTGTTATACATGAGACATCCGAACCTTGAGGGAAAACATGAGGGAAAAACCTTAAAGGATCATGCCCACAAAAACAATAATACAAAAGTCCTTGGCGTAAAACATTTCAATGAAAGTAAAAAAAAAGAATTTCCAAAAAGTTGAGAGTTGACTTTGAACTTGCAGATACTTATGGAGTCAACACGGTACATTTGTAGATAAAGGAATCCCATTGTCTCGAAAGATGAAGCTTTGCACTTTGGCTCAAAACCATGAGTGGCACTCAAAATCGACCATGGCGACCATGAACCACAGATTATCCAATAAACATATGTAAACATGAATGTATGCAGGTAAACTCAATGTTTTCCTTAGCCGCATTTTCAATTTCTTTAGAAGAAATGTTATCTTTCCTAATTCCATGTAAATCAAAGAAAATGATTATGAAATTATCGCTGCTATTCCTGAATAATATGAATCAGGGAAAGTTTATTTGAACGAAAACAGAGATACCAAGTAAGCATTTTAGAATGAAAAACTTTATCCTAAATGTCCCTCTCTTGGATTTCTAACCTTGCCTTCGTCGTCCACGACGGATAGTTTGTCAGCGGCGATCTTGACCACCTGGGCACCGATGGCAACATCGAACTGCCCCTTCTTCTCCGGCTTCATCCAAACGTAGTCGCCCTGTCATAACAGCAGCTGGCTTTAGTGAAGTTTCCTGATTTCTGCTGACTTTAAACCGAGCGAAATATGTCACGTAGCATGGATAATGGCATGTCTGGCAAGCATTTGGTGGCGATGACAGTCTCTGATTTTTTCATTCCAGGCTTTGCTAGAGAAGTTATATTATTAATAGAAGTTCCTTCGATTTTCCGCATACACTCTTGGAAAATTCCGAGGGTTTGCGGAGTAAAGAGTGAGCACATCGTGAGCTTTTCGAATTTACTCTCTTATTACTCACCAAATGCTCCCTCATCGTTCGTATTGAAGCGAACACCTTGAAGTTCTTCCCCGTGCCACTAGATGGAGATAAGGGTCTCGCTTTTCGCACAGTACACAAAAGTTCCCTTCCCTCTTTCCCTGGAATCGTCTCTCGCAGGATTGTTTAGTACCTTGCCATATGTCTCACCTAGTCTCATTATAGGAATCAATAAACATGGACACTTCATCATTTGTTATCCACATATTCAAGACGTACTCATAGAGTCCTTGCCATAAACAAGCTCATATTCCTATTGAGAAGCCCCTTGGAACGCAAGTGATTTTATCCGCATAGGAGATCTAGAATGTGTAGAGTGCCCGTGAACTTCATTCCCTCATACCTCAATTAAATGAGGTGATAAGGACTGATATCCGGGACTACTCCATGGAACCAATAAGAGGTTATCCACCCTCTGACGTGTGATTTAATCAGTACAGTCAGAGGTAGGTCAACGCATGTACGAAAGAGATAGCGACACATAGTATATAAAGAGTTTTTCGCATTTGCACGACATCCCGATCACTTTCTGATGGAAGCGTTTTTACTCACGGAGGAGAGCAATTTTACCCCTTCATGATGGAGTAAATTTGTTCCTTTCCCAGAGTGAAAGGGGGGTGAAACTGGAGTTAGCTATTTTACTCTCTTTTTTGAGAAAAATCGCTCCCCTTTTTCTAAGAGTGTAGAAGCATANGTTAGCTATTTTACTCTCTTTTTTGAGAAAAATCGCTCCCCTTTTTCTAAAAGTGTAGAAGCATACATTTTAGGGTTGCGTAGTTTGACAGCTTACTTCTCTCACGGGGATTCAGTTAAGGGTATTTGCATATTATTAAATAATGAGGCAATGACGCTCTAATAACTGCACAGAAAGGACGAGATGAATGCCTGAGGACTGACGTTTCCGAGTAGAAATTTTGGTACCCGATTTTTAGACAAGAATTTATTGAATATAATACAAAAACTTATCACTTTATTCGATATTTTTTAATTGCATTGTTATTGTAGTTCTTAGCGCGTTTTCACGGAGTCTATATGAAGAAAATATAATTTTTACGACTAGTACTTCTTTGCAATGCAAATACATCTATGTTTAACAATTATGGCAAATGAGTTTCAACAGTTAACCCATTGGTCTCCATCACATTTTCTAATCGATGCAGGAATTTCGCTCGGAAATTAAAAAATTAGATGTTCGATGTTAGCATTAGATGAACCGTAAAGCCCATTAAGTGGCATTTGACGGAGTATGAATTTAAGCTTCGCTGTCCCGCTTACTCCCTGAATCGGTTCCTAACGATCCTAAGATACGAATGGAGACTTATACCTTAGCCACTGAACGTCTTGCCACCCGGCCTCTTGCTCCACCAATCTGTCATTAATTTCAATGTATTGAATTTTTTTATTTTTGTATGAATACTTTACTAATTACACTTTTGCGAAGATGCATTATTAGAACTGATACGTTGTCCTTAAATGATAATAAATTCAATGAAACTCGATGGAACAGATCATCTCTCTGGCACCACTCACCAACATGCATACATTTGACAACCTTTCACATATCATACATACCTCTTTCCATTTTGTCCGCGAGAGCTACATGGCTTCTTTTCCTTAGACACTGCAAGAACGTCGGGAAGGCATCATCTCCTTTGCGAGGGAGGTTTTCTTGCAAAGAGAGCAACCTCTCCCTGAAGCTCGGTACCTTCCTCACTTCGAAGTACTCCCCATGAGGCACGATGCCAGCTACGTATAGGTCGTGGTATATATCGTCGATGTTGATGAACTCCAGCTCATTTGTGTATTTAGCGAGAACTGGGGCGACTTCCATGAGAGGCAGGATTCTCAGAATCTCCGAAAAATTTTATTCTGTGTGGTCTGCGGGTGCTCGTCAGCAGACTACAGTCCCATCAGATATATTCAAGAAATGTATACTGGAAAACAGGATATTGCAATTCACGAAGGAATACCAAATAGCACCTTATTCTCCAACACTCAAAGCGAGCTAACGTGTGAACGGTCGAGCTGCTAGACGAGAACTGGTACTGGAATTGAGTTGTACTGCCATCGTATGACGATGAACTCGTCCCCAGACTGTCCGAGTGAGAAACCATGTTGTCATCACCTCTTCAGGTAAGTATGGCTTGAAGGACTTGACTTATCTAGATTCCCGTAAAAGATAAGTAAGGTGATACCTGCAGAGTGGTTTATTGTTTAAAAGGGACCCCGAAAGATTTATTTCACAGTCGCATGAAGCATATCTAAAGCAATTCATCCATTCACCTGATAGAAAAACAAGTCAAGTCAATTTGAACCGCATTCATGATTTGCGCAAGTACCGTTGGTACTTGTACCACGTATCCTGAGTCCTTACCTAATTATTTTTTTATTTCCCTTTCCAATTATGGTCTTGGGTATCTAATGTGCCTTTGGCGCCCAAAAGCAAGGTATATTCTGAAGTCCCAGGAGTTCTGCGTTTTCCTGATTGAGCCTTTGCCATCCTGAAAGATGAAACATCCTGAAACTTGGCACCACATACTATTTATTTCCTTATCTTGATATCCCCATTTTCCAGAGAATCTACTTCAACAAAGCCACAAGTGCCATGTGCCACCATGCGACCTTAACACCTGATTCCTAAAAAGCTGTATTTTGACTCTCTTGAATATTTTTCTTGAATCCTTCCCCTCAGCCTTTAGATGAGTGCCTTAGTCGCCCCAAATTGGGTTCCAGACAACACAATGAGTTCATCTCTGAGACGGTATGAACCAATGATCACAAGTTTCCGGCAATCTGTTACAGTGAGTGCTTGTCAGTATGGCGAGTAGATCGGAGCTGACGGAGTTCGAAAGTGATAGTTGGTTATCATATCGTCCTTTGTCCCGATACTTTTAGTAATATGTTGTATGTAATACCTAGGTTCACGTACATGTCGTTTCTATTGCCACTGTTGTAATACCCATCGTTAGCACTTCCCACCTCATCAGACCTCCTTTACGACTCAAGTCTCAATACCCTGGTGCAATCGAGAGTGGTTCAAGGCTTTCGCAAACTCTCTGCAGCCGATTTCCGACTCCCTGTCTGTGATGCCTCGAAGGAGATGAAAGAAATATGACATTATTTTCCTCTTGGTCCAGCGTTTCCCACGGATCCTGCCCTCCCACTGCGAAAATTCCCATTGTATTTTGTCCCTGCGTAAAAAAAAGGAGCAGACCAGCTTTCTGCTTCTCAGGCTGTGTCGCTCAACAAGAATCTTCTGCATCCGCATCAGCTTCGAAATGATTTTCGAGAGTCTTCTCGTAACTTCTTCCTAATATTCCATTCATCCGACATTTCCTTTTTTTAAAGTGGAACTTGAACTTCTCCTTGCAAAACGATTGCAGTCACCGCACTTTTCCCTACTGGGAATCTCTTGCCTCCTTAGGGAGTTGACACCGCAGGACTGCGGCGGCGTCCTCGAAGACTCTTACGGGGAAATCACGTCTCCGGGATACCCTTTTTTAATAATAAAAGAAACTAATTGTATGGTGAGCCCCGCTGTCATGTGATGGACCGGCACATGACTCCCGCCCACCATGGTGAGATCCTCCCAACACCAGGGCTGGCAGAGTGCAAAACCCTGGAGAAGCTGTTGTGAAAGCCATATTATGGGAAGGTGACCCATGACTCAGGCGTGAGGACGAGTGTGCAGGCACGCTCGCATCCACGCCTAGATCTCTCCCGTTTTTACATTTGGCTGTTAATTCTATTTTCTTCATGGACAGAGAGCAGCCCTTAATGAGAAGCAAGACCAAGAAGATCCTGTCATTTAATTGGTCAGTAGATTGGGGCTGAGTACAATTTTAGGTCCGCATGTTTCTGAAGAAGTTTAATTTACGTCCTAGTAGTTTACAATTATCTTTTCCAATATACGTTTTAATTTCGTTCATTTTGGATTTACTGAATTTACATCCTGTCGGAAGTTGTTTAGAGGATAGATGCCCCATAGGAAGAGAAGGTGTCTCCAGATGCAAGCTGGCCGGAAGGGCCTTATCAGGCGCCCTGGTGTGAAGAGCTGAAGCAGGGTGTTATTTGAGACATTGGGGGGAGAGGAGTTTGTGGAGTGAGTTCTTGGATTGGCCGCTAAAGTGAAAGAGTGTCAACAATAATTGAAAGCTAGCTCGGAAGCGTGCTGAGAGAGAGGGGTGAATCCGCTTCTATAAATATAGGAGTTAGGAAAGAAAGTTTGGAGGTGGAAAGTGTATTTGATAGCAGCTCGTTCGATGCCTTCGAGCTGATAGAGGACTGCCTCTGGACAGTTGACCCAAGCTACGAACGCGTACTTTAGGACCGGGCGGAGGTAAGTTACATATAATTTCGTAATATATTCCTGGATACCCGTAATCCTATCCCTCTGATTCCAGCTGCCATTGGGAAATTCGGGTAATTTCCTCCAGGAATCTTACCGATGTTCATGTTGATGGACGTCTAGCGAGGAAGGTTTCTTCCCCTCTATTACGAGGAACTTTTTTGAAAAATGAAACTCAAAGTGACATCCATGCACTTCATGTAAGGTTTCAGTCAGGCGAGTTGCGAGTCAGTCAGTCAGTCACGATCGTCTATATATTTTATATGAAAATAATTTTTTTTCTTTACTCAGCTATTCATCAGGTACTTCTTTGCCAAGTTTAAACTTTCCAGCACCCTCCGTTTTGCTGGATGAGAAAATTCAGGAAAATTTGCAAAATATACGCCCTCGGGTATTTTAACCGAAAAGTACCATTTTTACCGAAATCAAACCTCAGTGAATTACATGCCCACAAAGTTTCAATCTTATACGTTTGCCCTTTTCGCTGGTGCAAAATCATGTTTGGAAAAGCCGACCCACCCAAAAGCTATGCCCAGAGGGGATGCACTATTAAAGCTGAATACTCCCTTAACTCAATAATATCACGTCACTTATACGTGTGCGTGCTTCACTTTTCTATTTCTGTCCAATTCGCCACGACACATTTTTTTTTTAAACATCGCCCCTCGAGAAATTTTCCCCAAGGGTGTATCAAGACTTAAAATTTTCTTTAACTCCTTATCTTGGTAGTCACATTCGTGCAAAGTTCCAGCTTTCCATGTCCATGGGTTTAACTAATGCAAAGAAATATGTGAAAACATCTCCCTTTGAAATTCATGCCCCCAGGGCGTTTCATTCCAAAGTCTGAATTTTTCTGCACGCAGCATCCCGGTAGGTAATTATGTACAAGTTTCATCTTTCCACACTAGCTCAATACAACAGGGCAAAGAAAATACTTGAAAACGTCGGACCCCAAAAGTATGCCCCCAGGGCATGGATCTAAAAATTTTGCATTTTTCCTGAACTCATCGTGTCGATAGGCACGTCCATGCCACGTTTCAGCTTTCCATGTCTCTCCGTTTTATTCAAGCAACGGGACACGGAAGGCAAGAGAAGCCAAAAAAAAATTGCTTGGAATGTCCAGGAATTGAACTCTCTTCCTCTCTCTCTCTTTATATTTCCTACTCTTCGTCACTCTGCTTTGGTATGGAACACCTACACAGGTTAAAAGGTCTAATCAGAGTCATGAAGTTGGGACAGTTACTAAACAGTTAAAAACTGGGTAAGATTCATCGTGATAATTCCCATTCTTTCTACGATCATCTTACGAACAGTGGCGGCTCGTGGGTAAAAAAAATTGGATAGGCAGCAGTGGTGCAAAAGAAAGAGGGGGGGGGGGGGGGGGTGCGGCCACCCCAATGATTCCTTTGCACCCATATGATTCCCATTTCTATCCATATTGACCAATGAAGCGTCCTCCTATGACAGTAGCTGGCACATTCGCTCCTCTCTCAACTTCGCTCAGCATCCCCTCCCCCATCCACCACTTTCCAGTCTCTTCTGAGGTTCATCCCCTCCCATTCACCCCTTGACTACAGGCTTGACATAAGTTTAGGATTTTTGCATTAAAAATTGTAAATCCAATTCTAACATAATCAGAACTATCAATCAAGTAAATTACTTGCATCTGTAAGGAATAGTGACGAAGATTTAAACCTTCAATGAATGCAACTATAGCATTGGAAGACACTCCAGGGATGGGAAGCACTGTCAGTCTAACAACACATATCACTTGGAAACAGTGCCTCTTCCAGAGGGAACAACGAATGCAGGGTAGGAATAGGGAACTGAGACTGACAGAAGCATGTTCGGAATGATTCATTCAGTCTGCATGATATGTAGCCTACCCTGCCTACTCTGACGAGCCACCACTGCTTACGAACAAACTCCGATTTTCCGCCTTTATGTCAATTTATTGTAAATGTGAAGGCCGTATGAACGTCATCCGTTCTAGCATATTTCACGACTTCGCAGGCCAAACTTCTCGCTAAAATACAGATTGTGAATTAGTAGATTGCAAATCTCCGACCACGTCTCATTATATATAATTACACGAATTCATATCGTCCATGATATATTGTATTGGGTTGATTTTTTTTCTCAAATTCATGAAGGTGTCAGTCACGATATTTGATCTTGTCTTTTCCTG